AAACAATTAACTAATTAACTGATAAACATATACTATTTGGTTTAACCACTACACATACAACCTTGTATAATGGATGTGAATATGTGTGCTGCTGCTCAGGTTGAAGTTGAATAAAGCTCAAGACAAGCATAGTTCACTAAAGATGCATGGATGAATAGTGCCATAAAGCCTGCTCTAGTAATGTGAGAAAATCTTGCCAAAAGTCTCTTCAGGCAAAACATCAAATTCTTTTTTTTCCCACAAAGTTGTGACATTTATCATCTAATCCTCTTAAAACCCTGTCACTTCAGTCCTCATGTGTCCTGCCTGCAACACAGTGACTGGATGATATAAATCACTTCAACAGGACAAACACTCTACAAAACCGAAAGGGTGTAATCTACAAAGTTGAATTAGAGTCTTAGGCTATCCCCCTAAATTGTTCTTTTCCTTCTTTGTTCTGTCAGTCTTTATTTCTTGGAGGAAATTGGCATCATTTGCTGTTGACACTGCAGAGCTCATTGTCCCCGATTATCCCAGGGACAGAGCTGCTGTGACATTGAGTTAATTCATGCTTGTTTCAATTTTGCTTTTGAGGGTAAGAAAATAGATAAGGCATTAACATAAGTGATGACAAGGAGGCGCTTAGAGACAGTCAATGCGGCGTCTGTCCACAAGCAAAAGAGAGCACAATGATTAGGATGGTTAACAAAAAGAGACTACATTCTGCCAGGCAAATTGGGTTGATTTCCTCAAATGTCAGGGATGGGTTGGATGTGCCTGTGAGTGACTTATCATGGCGCCCTCTGAGGCAGACGTGTTTGCGCGTTGCACTACCGAATGCCAGCTTTTTCTTCATATTCTTCTTTTTTTTATTTTTAAATCTTTCCGCAGTGCACAAATGTCATGCACTGCTAACATACAACAGACAGGCATCGCTGGATATCGCCAACTTACACAGCTACTGGGAATTTACTGGTTTCATATCACCTGAGCTACAACTCATTGTTCGCTCCCGCAACAACAACCACCATTGCCCCCGGGAAGTCCCCGAGGCACCAGGCACAAGTGAGCAGGCTGACCCCAGGACAGCGATCCGGAGATGGAGACGCAAGCGTGGCAAGAGAGGAGGGCTCCATGCTAGGCTAAAAGCTCACCCTACCCGACCACCACTACCCAGCCTCTTCCCAGCTAACGTACAGTCTCTGGAAAACAAATTGGATGAGCTACGA